CAAACGGCAAGTCCAACACCAGATCCAAGAGAGGAGCCAACGTTGGCTCCGACGCCGGCTCCAACGGCAAGTCCAACGCTGGATCCAAGACCAGAGCCAACGTTGGCTCCAACGGCAGCTCCAACGGCAAGTCCAACACCAGGTCCAACACCAGTTGAAAGAGTGGAGCCAACGTTGGCTCCAAGAGCAGCTCCAAGGCCAAGTCCAACAGCTGATCCAAGACCGGAGCCAACGTTGGTTCCAATATTGGCTCCAAGGCCAAGGCCAACACCAGCGCTCACTCCAGCCCCGACGTTGGCTCCAACGCTGGCACCGACGGTGAGTCCAACGCCGGCGCCGACATCAGATGGAAGAGCAGGGCCAACCGCCCCAATGCCGAGCCCAACGCTGGCTCTGACGCCACCACCGAGACCAGCACCGATGTTGGCCCCAACACTGAGCGCAACACCGGCTCCGAGACCGGGACCAATGTCTGCTCCACTGTTGCCTTGGAGACCAGCTCCAACATCATCTCCGGCACCAGCTCCAAGAGCAGATCTGATATCAGCCCCAAGGGTGGAGCCAACATCGGCACCGGCGCCAGCTGCCACGCCAAGGCCAACGTCGACTGTGATGCCGGCTCCCACGCCAATGTCGACTCCAGCGCCAACATCAGAGCCAAGACCGTGTCCGACAGTGTCTCCAAGACCACGTCCAATGTTTGTTCCGATGCCGGCTCCAAGACCAGGGTCAATGTTGGTCCCAACGTTGACTCCAAGGCCTTGTCCGATGGCAGCTCCAACACCAGGTCCCATGTTGGCTCCAAGACCAGCTCCAAGCTCAGGGTCAACGCTGGGCGCAAGGCCGGCTCCAAGACCGTGTCCAAGGTCAGCTTCGAGGCCACATCCAACGTTGACCCCAAGGCCAAGGCCAACACTGATGCCCACATTAGCTCCGACGTCCTCTCCAAGCCCGGATCCAACACCGAGGTCAACGCCGGATCCAACGCCAGGGCCAACCCCAAGGTCACCACCAGCTCCGATGCCGGCACCGGGAAAGTCAAGGCCGGGGCTGAAGGGTTCGGGGG